AGCAGGAGGCTTGGCTCTGCTCCAGGCTACAAAGTTTTCATTTTAGAAGGTAAATAAGTTCCAGGAAGTGCGCCTGGCCTGAAAACCACCACAGGCCCTTTGTTCAAGCCACCCCACACCCCAATGGAACCCTCATTCTGATTTGGGACATCCTTCAGGACAAACCAGCTGGCTCCCACCCATGCACCAGGCCTCTATCCTATCTAATAAGAGAGTAATATGCAGATTGACCACCCCTCGAACACAGAAGATGGCTGTCTCCATGTGGTCAAAGATCCTGCCCCATGTGGACATACGATGGCCATCACAAGATGGCCAGCAGGGGAGGGCAGTTGTCAGGCACCTGGCCTGCAAGGGAGGGCAGTTTAGATGGAGCAGGCCTGCAAGGGAGAGCAGTTGGAGGGGATCAACCCTGCAGGGTAGGGCAGGCTGGCAGAGGTGGTCAGATTGCACCTAGGAAAAGGAGAGAGAGGTACATAACCAGACACCTGGAGATCATGGGCAGTCAAAGAAACAGCCTGCATATTAAAGAAAAGGAGGCATCACCACAAAAGGAAGTAAGCAAAATGGAACTAATATGTCAGAAAAGAATTTAGAGAAATGATCATAAGGTCACTGAAAAGAATGGAAGACAAATTCAACTATATATGTAAGAACCATGAGGAAATTAAGAAAAACCAAGAAGAAATGAAAAATGACATCACTGTTATAAAGAATTCAATAGAAAGCATTAAGAGTAGACTAGAAGAAGCAGAGGACCTATATGTGAGCTAGAAGACAAGTAGAAAATAATTCCCAAGCACAGCAGAATCCATAAATAAATAAATAAATAAATAAATAAATAAATAAAAACTTAAAAAACATGAGAGCCTAAGGATACTTTGGGACATGAAACAAAACAAATTCCACATAATAGAGATAACGGAAGGAGAGGAAAGTGAGCAAGGAATAGAAAACCTGTTTGAAGAAATAATGACAGAAAAATTCCCTGATATAGGGAAGAAAAAAATCACACAAATCCAAGAAGCTCAGAGTCCTAATCAAAATGAACCCCAAAGACTGACACCAAGGCACATTATAATTAAAATTTGTGTGCTGGAGGTGTGTGTGGTGAGTCCCTCAGCTCAGCCCATGTCCTCTCACAGTTCTGGAGCTCTCAGAGGATATCCAACAAGTGGCAGACAGTCATACTTAGCATTGCCATGGAGGCGAGAGAGTTTCCTGCAACATCCACTGTGTTCCTCAACCTTTAGCCCATCTTCTAGACCTAGTCTTAGACCTATACCTAACCCCAGCCCTATCCCGAGCACCACCCCCTGCTCTTGCCCCTTCCACTCCCCCAGCCCCTACCCCAGCCCCAGCCCTCTTCTCCTCCCCCTCCTTCTCCCCCTGCTCTTCTCTCCCCTTTTCCCCTCCCCTGACCTTCTCACCCCTCCTCCTATTCCCTCCACCTTCCCATTCCCTCCCTTTCCCCCTACTCATGCCCATGCCCCTGCCCCTCTCACTCCCCCTGCCCCTCCCCCTGCCCTTGCACCTGCCCCTACCCCTCCCCTTCTCCTCTCCCTGCCTATGCCCCTCCCCCTTCCCCTGCCCCTCCACCTGTCCCTTCCATTGACCCTCCTCCTCCCCCTTCCTCTCCCCTCCCCCTCCCCTGGCCCTTGCCCCTGCCCCTGCCCTTGCCCCTGCCCCTCCTCCAGCCCCCCCTCTCCCCCAGCTCCTTTCCCAGCCTCCAGCCCCTGTCCCTGCCTCAGCTCCTGCCTCTGTCCCAGATGCTGCCCCTGCCCCTTGCCCCTTGCCTACTGCCCCTCGGCCCCCTGACCCTATTCCCTGTCCCCTGCCCCAGTCCCTGCCCCAGCCCTGTCCCCTCCCCTGATGATGTAAACATGTCTGGCCGCCGAGCAGACCCCACCCCCCACCTCCACCACCCAGGAATCACAGGACACTTCTGGGTATTTTCCAGGCTCTGGCACCCATGACCAACAATCCAGTTGGACACCTGGGCCCTCCCCCTTGTTTTGGAGACACCTCTCCTTGTTCTCCAGAGCAATGAGCCTCACTGCCTTGGCTTCTTGGCCCATCAGTCGGAGGCTGGACTTTCCAAATCAACGGAAGTTGGGTTAAAGGCTTAAAACCCACAGCCCCATATCACCATTTTCTCATAGGCTGTCTTCCATTCCAACAAGAGAACAGCAAGCAGGGGCTGTCAGCCCTCTTTTAAGAAAGCCATGGGGGTCCATCTGCCTCGGGACCCTGCATTGTCCCCAACATGGGGCCATCTCACCCTGGAATGGCTTTACACTCAGACAAAATGGACTGCGGGTGTGGAGGTGTTTTATCTCTTCCACGTCTAGCACGGAAAAGGAATGGGTCCAGTTGCTGAGTAGAAGAGCTGGGGATTAATAAATAAAAGAAAGAGAACAAGATGCAGAAATAGAAGCAAGTTGGGAGCCAGGCTTTGAAATCCAGGCCAGAGCTGTGTCAATCCCCAGACAACCATTTCTCTTCTGTAGCCAACTCCAGTCCCCTCCTGTGTCACTAATGGGTGGGGTGTCCTGAGGGCCAGCTTTTGGCCTCACTCACAGTAAATGCCCTACCTTGAGGACATGGACCTTTTTGGTGCCATCCAGGGTCTGGACCAGAGGGAAGTGGGGCTTTGGCGACCCCCTGTGACCCTCCTCTACATTAAGTGGCCCCACCAGCCTATCCACTAGACCTGTGGATGGCAAACTGGCTCGCAAGCCACATGCGGCTCTTTGTCCCCTTGAGTGTAGCGGTCACATTACCGCTTCAGGCTGTCCTCCTGGCTCTCCTCTCTGATGACATAGCCAGGTCCAGCTGGTCACTGGAACTCACAGCCCCTGGCCCACATGACCACATCCGGGTATTCACAAGGCCCTGATTCGTATGACCAACTTCCAGCAGTCATCTGACCCCTCCCCTGATGATGTAACCAAGTTCTGCTGGACAGAGAACAGACAGCGGGGCGTGGCAGCTTCATTGCAGCAGCAGCGGCAAATCAGCCAAGCGCTGCAGAGAGGAGGAAACCATGGGGAGTGGGCCTCAGTAAGACCTCCCCCGATTGGAGAGGGTGCAGGTTGGCCTGAGAGTCCTCCCTCACATGCACAAATGTCATGCACCAGTCCTCTAGTAAAATAACAAAACCATTGGTCAGTCACATGTCAAAACTATTCATCCAAAAATCAAGCAATGTTCTTTTCTTTTCTTTTTCTCTTAACAGTTCTTTTAGTGAGATTCTACATCTGTGTGGCATTTGTTCATATTCTCCTTTGCTTATTGACTTGGCAATAGGTATTATTTTGCACCGTATCATAGGGGACCCCTTTGTTATGCTGTGTCCTGACGCTGCTGACCCACAAAAGAGAGCACATGAGAAACACCATGCGTTGCCTTTCCTTTAGGGCTTCAAGCTGATGCCAAGTGCACTTTATAAAAGAAAGAGTGTCTTCAGAGAGCGACATAAAGACCATTCTTGTTTTAAAAATATATTTATATTGACTTAAGAGAGGAAGAGGGAGAGAGATAGAAACATTAATAATAAGAGAGAGTCACTGTTGGCTGCTTTCTGCACCTCCCCTACTGGGGACTGAACCCACTTGGGTATGTGCCCTTCCTTGACTGGAATGGAACACGGGACCCTTCAGTCCGCAGGACACTTTATCCACGGAGCCAAGCCAGCTAGGGCTGAAGATGCTTCTTAACAACACAGAAGTAACTCAATTGTCTACAGTCTGCTTTTCCTCACACAGCTTTAGATCTATGGCTCGGACTTGGACCTGCCTTATTCACCTTTCTAGGCCCTATGAGCACATAATACATGTTTGCTGAATGATTTACTGAAGAAAAATGACCAGTTAAGATTATTACTATGTTCCAATTATGTGAGGGTTTTTTTTCCCCTTTTAAATCTGGATATATATATATATATATTTTTTTTCAAAATATATTTTTATTGATTTGAGAGAGAGGAAGGGAAAGGGAGAGAGAGAATTATCAATGTTGAGAGAGCCCTCTGACTATAGAATTGAACTGTGACCCTCCTGGTTCATGAGTTGATGTTCAAATACCCGGCAACACCGGCCTGGCCAAATCTTTGATTTTTAAACCACTTTAGCAAACTACCAAAAAATAAAATAAATAAATAAATAAATAAATAAGGACAGAAAGCAGGACAAGCATGGTATCCAGCAGTTTTTTTGTTTTCTGTTTTTTTACTCTATAACATGTGAAAGATATTTTAAAGCATGATCTCAAGAAAATAGTCTTTCATTTCTTATTCATAAACTTCATTACTGTCTATGTGTGAGGCACAGTTTAGTACAAAAGCAAAACTAAATTATTAACCTATTTTGTGAAATGAAACCTAAATCAATTTGCATTGCTTCAATAAGCCATTGCTACTAGAGCACCAAACAGATATTAACAAAACATTACCGAAAACTTATTTCCTTTTAGATGGCAGATCATCATTGAAAATGCCTGGACAATGATTTTCTAGCAGAAGAAGAGGCCCAAGAAAAAGACCGGTCGCCCGAGGAATAAGCTGCGAAAGTGACAGCAAGGACCCCTCCGAACTAAGCTGACCCCGAGCACCGCCTCCGGTGGGCCTGAGGCTCTCCTGGACCCCAGGTCTCTCTGCAGAATCTGCACCTCGGGGAGGAGGGGTGCAGCCCCATCCCCAGTCAGTCAGCCCACTGGCCCCTCCTCCCGGGTCCGTCTCCCTCCCTCCTCCCTCCTCCCTCCTCCCTCCTCCCTCCTCCCTCCTCCCTCCTCCCTCCTCCCTCCTCCCTCCTCCTTCCTCCCTCCTCCCTCCTCCCTCCTCCCCTCCCTCCTCCCTCCTCCCTCCTCCCTCCTCCCTCCTCCCTCCTCCCTTCTCCCTCCTCCCTCCTCCCTCCTCCCTCCTCCCTCCTCCCTCCTCCCTCCCAGCACCGGCGCCTGTCCGCCCCGCAGCGCGGCCCGCACCTCCCGGCGCCGCAGCAGCCATGGCAGCGGACGGGGCGGATGAGCGCTCGCCGCTGCTGTCCGCCCCCCACGCGGGCCACGTCACCCCCTCCTCCCCGCCGCCCTGCCGGGAAGGCAGCCCGCAAGGTGAGCCCGCAGCGCCCTTCCCACCGCGGCTCCCACCGCGGCTCCCACCGCGGCGGCGGGAGGAGCGGGGGAGGGGATCGCAGCGGGCGGGGAGAGGGCGCTGTCCGGGCAACGCAGCTCCGGGGTGCGGGGTGGGGGAGAGGGGCGGGCTGCAGGCTTTGGGGTGTGTGTGTGTGGGGGGGGGTGTGAGTGTGTGTGTGTGGGTGTGTGTGTCCCCCAGCCTCTGACCTGGGTGCGGGCGCCCCTCGCGGGCTCAGAGCGGGCTGGGCCGGCGAGGCGGCACGCGGTTTCAGCACCAACCCTTTCCGCTGCGGAGGAGCCGGGCGCTGCTCACCTCGGCCTTTGTCCTTGAAAAGCTTAATTGGAAAAATTGGATCCCCGCTAGGTTCGCCGCCCGGGAATTCCTCCACAGGGCACAGGCTTAATCAGTTTTCCTGTGGGGCCCGGATCCCTGCCTCTCCCGTTCCTGCTGCTTGGGAATGAGGAGGGAGGCAGAAGATGGGTTTTTCTGATGTATATCTGGTGAGATTGAAATGAACTGTAGTAAGTAACCCAAATTAATACTGTGTATATGTCTATCCATTTTCTTCACTAGATAGAATCCAAAAAGATTTGATAGCTTTTTGGGAACTGGAGAAAGAAGGATCTATTTACCAAATTATTAAATTTATTCAAAGGTCTTTGTTGTAAGCCTTTTAGTCCACTGGTGTGGGTAAAACCAGGCGGGGTCAGGAGTATGAAAATGGAAGGCAATACCTACAAGAACTTAAGAGGAGTGAGATTGGCCAAAAACGGCTCTTGCAAATAAAGCTTAAGTGCATCTGTCTTTTCCAGATGAATGTGAGAGGTTTAAAAACTTTCTTGCACACACTTTTCCCCAGTCCCAGCTGGGCTTGGAGCAGCTGGGGAGCAGGTTGAACTTGTGTAGTATTTAAATGTTTTTACTTAACACATGATAGCTTGAAAAGCAACTACTGAGCTTAATCCACACTAAGCAAGAAGCAGGAAAGTGAAAAGCTGTGAATATTTCAATGAGATCAATGAGTGAGAAATAAGGTACAAAATCGAACAGAAACTCACCCCAGAAAGCACACGGTCCTGCTCTGGGTCAGCATTGAACTCTGCCAGAGGATGCCAAGTGGAGAACTTCCTTCAATGGACACATTTGACATTAATATCTCACTGTTGTCTAAATATTATGGTCTAGAATATGTTTAACTACTTATCAGTTAATGTTTCAATTTTATCAAGCCACCCTTTTAACACTAAATAGTTGACAGCTTGTTAAAAGGAGGAGTTTGGGTTTAACTAACTTCCTATAATAGATTTCATGTCCTCTATGTCGCATCTATGTTTTTGATCAAATATTGGCTCTCTTATTCCACCAAATGGTCATACTAATAGATCTGCCTGTAGACTTCATTTGTCATATATTCAATCTGATAAGACTTTTCAAACTGCAAAATAAGGTACAAGTTTCCGACCAGCCACTGAGAAAAATAAGTTTCATTCCAGAAAACTTTTAAGAACCAAAGAAATTCAAGTGTTAAAAAACAGAATTGGACTGAGTACATTTTAAAGATATTGGCTTTATTCAACCATTCATGGCTCTGGCAGCATCCCATCCAGCCAATAGAAGGTAGCTCCAAGGAGCTGTGCCAATGAGAGACTGTTCTAGGTAGAAGGAGGCGGGAACAAGGAAGTCATAGCAAAACATGGACTGGCTGTGACCAGGACACTTTCCTCGGGGATGCAGATGACCTCACAGTGCTGGCCCGGCAGCAACTGCTTTACAAAAAGTTCTTTCTCCCTTGTAGAATAGCTTTTCTTCCTGGCTGGGAAAGGAGACAGGTTAAATGAGTAGAAACTGCTTTCTTGGGGGAGGGAGGTGCTTCAGAGTTTGTGTTCTTTGGCACTTTTCTAGATTTTCTCTCCCTTTTGCTATTCTCTTTTTCTTTGTAAGAAAAAAAACTGTATATTCAAAAAATAAATGTGAAGCAGAGCTCCTTCCCTGGCTTTCGGGTGAGTTTGTTGAGCTTTGTGTGACTGCACCCCTTATGGGCTCAGGGACACCCTGCCTCGGGCACAGCTTGGCCTGGGGGTCACCTCTGCCAGTGCCCGGCTGGGACCTCGGGTTGTAAGGTCACATCCTGAGATGGGTTTGCCCCCTGACCCGGCGTGGTGTTTCGTGTCCCTTTGCTCTCCCAGCCTGTGATACCGTGTTCTTGTATGGACCCTGGGTACTTACTCTAGGCCAGTGGTCGGCAAACTCATTAGTCCACAGAGCCAGATATCAATAGTACAACCATTGACATTTCTTTAGAGAGCCACATTTTTTAAACTTAAACTTCTTCTAACACCACTCCTTCAAAACAGACTCGCCTAGACGGTGGTATTTTGTAGAAGAGCCACACTCAAGGGGCCAAAGAGCCGCATGTGGCTCGCGAGCCATGGTTTGCCGACCACGGTCTAGGCTGTCTACTCCAGCCCTCCGTGGCCCCCCAACGGAACTCTTGACTCATTGAACAGGCAGATGCTGTGGGGACCCCCTTCCCCGCACTGATGCTCTGGGCCGGGGAGCCCAGTGTGCTGAGGTCACCTCTCTCCAAAGAGGGAACTTCTCAGATATTCCCTCAGCTCTCACCGTCCCAGACCTGCCCCCACCAGCGCCCGGAGCCTCCGCCCTTAGCCCAGGGGTCTGCCGCCGGCTCCTCCGAGGGCCTGGAGCGGAGCTCGGCAGGAGCCGGGCGTGCACCGTGGGTGTGGAGGAGCGGCGTGGGCCCAGCCTCAGGAAGCCCCGGGCACGCTCGCGCGAGGGCAGCTGCCACTGGAGCCGAGCCCTGTGCTGGGAGCGGGAGCTCCTCCAGGCCTCAGGCTCCCTCCGGCCTGACGTGTTTCCTGCACAGGGGAACAGATGCGGGGATGTCCCTGTGCCGCCTGCTCCTGGGGTGCCTGCAGGTGCCCGCCCACAGGTGCCCGCCGCCCAGGTGCCCACCCACAGGTGCCCGCCTCCAGGTGCCCGCCCACAGGTGCCCGCCCACAGGTGCCCGCCACCCAGGTGCCCACCGCAGATGCCCACCCCCAGGTGCCCGCCCACAGGTGCCCATCGCAGGTGCCTACGCCCAGGTGCCTGGCCGCCCAGGTGCCTGCCCCCAGGTGCCCACCGCTTGTGCCCGCCTCCAGGTGCCTGTCCCAGGTGCCCACCTGCAGCCCACCCACAAGTGCTTGCCCCCAGGTGCCTACCGCCTGTGCCCGCCTCCAGGTGCCTGTCCCACAAGTGCCCACCTGCAGCCCACCCACTGCGTGTCACCTGCCCGGAGCTGCAGAGCTCTCTCTCTGGACTCTCTCTGGCCTCGGAGCTCACGAGGCCTCACTTCCACTGCCGCCATTAGAAAGCTGGGTTGCTTGGGGCAGCGCCACAGGCAGCGCACAGGTGAGGACAGGCGAGGCGAGCCAGGTTTCCCTCCTGCGTCGATCGGACCTCGGCAGTAGCGGTGGGGCGCTGGCCCGCAGTCCTCCCGGGAGTGGCATTGCTGCTGGTTGTTTCCAGGGGCATCTAGGGAAACCCACCACCTCTCCCTGTGGGTCAGAACCCATGGGGCATGTTGCCGGTTGTCAAAAATGTCTGCCCCTCCATACATTCAGGCTGGGGAAGTAGCTGCAGAGTGGGTCCTCGGGTGCCCGGGCCCCGGGAGTGGGTGCTGGGCCAGGCATCGCCTGTCACCTGGACCACGGGCCTCCGCACTACGGAACTCTGGACCACGGGCCTCTGGACAGGGTGGAAGTTAGAGTGCACTCAGCACAGGTAAGAGCCAGTGTCTGTGAACCCTGCGAGGTGGGGGCACCACGTGGTCTGTCCCTCTGCCCTGGACTCCGGCTGGCGAGGCAGGGAGGGACCAGGGGCCTGCAGGCCTTGACACTGGCCCCGCTCCCAGCGCACAGCCACCTACAGGGCCCGCCCAGGCTGCGAGCTGCTTTGCCAGAAGCTGTTTGCTGGTTACAAGACCTGTGTTTTTTGTTGTTGTTTCATTTTTTTAAAAATTCATTTTATTGTTTAAAGCATTACATATATTATAGTAATACATGTGTCTCCTTTCCCCCCCATTGACCTTCCCCAGCCTCCTCTGCCCCCTGTCACATGCCCCCCGACCAGTGTCTGTGTCCATTGTGCTTATATGCATGCATACAAGTCCTTTGGTGGGTCTCTTTCCCCCTCTACCCAACACTCCCCTGTCTTCCCACTGTCATTTGACAGTCTTTTCGGTGCTTTACTGCCTCTGTGTCTATCTTTTTGTTCATCAGGTTATAATTATCTTTATTTTCCATAAATGAGTGAGTTCATGTAGTATTTTTCTTTCATTGACTGGCTTATTTCACTTAATATACTGCTCTCCAGGTCCATCCAGGTGGCTGTAAGGGGTAAGAATTCCTTCTTTTTTGTGGCGGTGTAGTATTCCATAGTGTAGGTGTACCATAGTTTTTTGATCAGTCATCTTCTGATAGGCACTTAGGCTGTTTCAAAATACTAGATGTGGTAAATTGTCCTGCTTTGAACATAGGAGTGCATATATCCTTTTTAATTCGTGTTTTAGCTTCTTGGATATATTCCTAGAAGTGGGATCACTGGGTCAAATGGGAGTTCCATTTTTAGATTTTTGAAGAAACTCCATACTGTTCTCCACAATGGCTGCACCAGTCTGCATTTTCTCCGCATCCTCGCCAATACTTGTCCTTTGTTGATTTGTTGATGTTGGCCATTCTGACAGGTGTGAGATGGTACCACATTGTCATTTTGATTTGCATCTCTCGGTTAATTGGTGACTTTGAGCATGTTTTCATGTGCCTCTTTGCCTTCCTTCTGTCTTCTTTCCAAAGGATTCTATTTAGGTCCGTTGCCCATTTTATTGGAACATTTATCTTCCTTTTATTAAGTTATATGAGTTCCCTGTAGATGTTAGAAATTAACCCTTTATCAGTGATAACATTGGCAAATATGTTCT